GTGAAAATTTAGTCAAAGACGAGAAAACTGCAGAAGAAATTTGCCTTATTTACACGTATCGGCAATGCAAGCTGCCATGCGACTTCCCCTTCTGACGTCACAAGGGGAATTTCTGTATGCAAATAAGAAGCTAATGAGGAGCCTCGTTTTAAAATACACAAAAATAAAGTTGCCGTAGATTGAGTTTAAAACACATTTTTTCACTTAAAAAAATAATTCATGCTTGGAAACATAAAAATTAATAATATTTATGTATCAATGGATAATTTTAGGTGTGAAAATAGCAGCCATTTCACAGGCACTTTAATTCCCGGTATCTAATCAATATATTCATTTCCTTCGTAGCTATTGTTCTTTTGGTGGTACCTCAATGTTGAATCCCATCTAATACGGTGATTACCACACACCTGTAGAAATTTGCGTATATTCTGAACGAGCCCTTAAAGTCTCTAATAATAAATAAATATTTAGAAATGTTACGAATACAATACAATATGAAAACATTAATTTAGGTTGCTACTTCTTTTTGAAATACCTTCTGTGACGGACGTTTGCAAGATGAACACTATTATATGTTGTGTGTTCAAGTAAGTTTTAACTTGTGTCGCTGGCAAGCTCATTCAACAGTTGACTCATATTATCAGTATGTAGACAGATAGCATGTTCAACAACAACTGAAATGATAATAATAATGATTTTTGTTCATGTTATCTGTGGAAATACATTTCAAAATGTGTCTCTTACAAGCACTTTTCAATAACCAGATTGTGTTTTGCGTGAAAGTATACATCATGGTGAAGGCAATTTTTATATGTGTGTCCAGTGAAAGCACTTTTGAAAGTTCTTCGATAATGAACGCACTTCTAGTATATTTCTAGTGGAAACACTTTAAAATATGTGTTTCTAGTAAAAGCACTTAAAAAAGAGTTGTGCTAATAAGCACTTTCCAATACATGTCCGTAGTATACGTTCTTCATCTGCTGATTCTGCAATCTCACCAAATCGTAAAATAGTTTTTTTTCCTTTGCAGATTGAGGAACTATCAGTTACCCTTGAGAATGCAAATGCTTGTTAGACGCTTGCATGGAAGCCATTTCATTAGAAAGTTCATTAACCTCACTGCACGTGTTCTTCATATCCGTTCCTAAGGCTGATTTTTCCCCATCTCGAATCAGCAATCTGTCAGAAAGATTGCGCTGTTGGGAATTATGTCGGTCATTGGCATTAAATATAAAAATGTGAAATACATTTATGCGTTTTTGCTGAGCACTTACTGCCTGAATATGAAAAAGTTTAAAAAAAAGTTTAGTGACTCTATAAAATGCTTATGGATATATTTATTTGTGTAATACTATCTCGTATATATTGAGACTTTACGTTGTTCTATATATTGAACTCACTTCATAAAATATGCTCATTATTGCGATAGAAACGCACATTATATTCTGTAAAATAAATGATTAAATTGTAATTGTTGTGCACGTAAATTGCATGTGCAAAAAAAACTATAAAACAGCTTATACTAATTTAGACATTCTATACAGACGTCAATGGTAGTAAATTTGAAACGGTGCATTAAATGAATGGCTTCTTAGTGTTTTTAGAGACTAGTTTCCTCTCACGTCATACAGGGCACGTCATCGCCATGCTATACCCAAGTATTTATCTCGTTATGGCACAACCTTGGCAAGTCCATACCTCGTATATATCACGTGTTCGGCACGTGTCTGCTGGGCAACATCTCAGTATATATCACGTGCTCTACCATAAAGCACAGCTGATACAACCAATACGTAACAAGCACATATCAGCATCATCATTCGGTCGACAATTTTTGCCACGTGGTGCCATTCCCTGATAATCTTCTGTCGCTCATTTTTTTCTTTCACCATGAAATTCAAATAGTGCACTTCGCGTAAAATCTGGTCTAAAGTTTCTTCCGACTTTCCGAATGACGAGGTTTTTTTGTCCTGTAGCTTAAGCAGAGAATAGGAATTCACGGACAGCGGTCGTATTGGAGCGAGGCTCTCGCGTATTTTACTGCCATATTCATCCATAGGCTGTAGTGAAGGGAAGTACTTTCTTTTGCGCTGAAGGCACACTAATGGGGCTACGTATTTGAAGAGGATTGTCTTCAACCATGCTGGTACTTCCTTGGTTTCTGATTGATCATAATGGATATTCAACACAACCACTGACGTAAGACATGATCCGCCCACCATTGATATCATCGCAGCAAAATGTTGTGCTGTGAATTTAAAATAAAGTTATGTTGAATTTATATATATAT